GGAGATATTCAGACCTTTATTCTGTTTGAGATTCAATTTTAAGACTATTAAAAGAGAATTGGATATAAACTTAGAAAAAAGTCAAACGTGCCACTCTTCTGCCATTCAAATTCATAGGAGCCTCTTGGGGCTTTGAATGGCCCGATGTCACTGGCATGATGGCTTTGCTTCCTTTCATCCCCAGCCAACTAGATTAGAGACCCTCTGTAAGCCATCCTGCCTCCACCCCTCAGTCTCTTCACAAGGCTGTAGGTGGAAACCAGGAAGAAAAAAATGATTTCCTCTATGTGGTTTATATAACCTGCAATACACAAAAGGGTTTTTTAGGTTTGGCTTGGGCATGGGGTCTGGTTGTGGCCTCCTGAGCTATGAAAGAGCAGAGAAGGTCTTTGGGACAAAGCACAGCTGCTTCCTCTGATAAGTTTCCCTCCACCTGTGACAGGGCTGTGGGTAATGGTGGTGCTGGGGCAGGACTGGTAGGAGGAGCTTGGGAAGTTGAGGTAACTTTGAGTCTTGTCAAATTGTAAAGAAAATAGTGTGCTTCCTCTCTCTCTTCCTCTCTGAGTCAGGTTTGTTTCACATTATAGGCAGGTTTGCATAGCATAAGGGATGATGCCATAAGGCCAGGAAAAATCTCTGAAGATTCTTCTGTCCAAATAGTTTCTATTTTAACATATGTTTCTTCTTCTTACGGGGCATGGCTGCAGCAAAAGATAGGTTCCAGTTCCTGTAACACAGTGGTCCTCAAGCTGGTCCCACAATGGAAGCCCCTGGGGAACTTTACCACAGTACCAATCCCAGGCTCTACCCCTGTCCATGTGAATTAGAATCTCTGGGAGTGGAGCCTGGGCATCAGTGTTTTAAAAAAAGAAATAGAAATTAAAAGAAAATTAACATACAAGCCACAAACGGGGAGAAAGTATTTGCAAAAACATATGTCTACTAAAGGACTTGTATCCAAAATGTATAAAGAACTCTTAAAAGTTAATAAGAAAGCAAAGAATCTAATTTAAAAATAGAGAAAAGATTTAAACAGATACTTCACTAAGGAAGACACAAGGATGGCCAATATACCCTTAAAATGATGTTCAATATCATTGGAAATTAGAGAAATGCAAATTCAAACCGCATTGAGATATCATGACATACCTTCTAAAATAGCAAACAGGCAAACAAAACAACCACACAAAACAACAGCTGACGACCCTGAGCTGGCAAGGAATGGAGCAACAGGTACCCTCATATATAGCAGGTGTGAATAAAAAATAATATAGCCCCTCTGGAAAAATTTGGTCTTTCATTATAAAGTTAAACACTCACTTACCATACACACTAACAACTCCACTCCTAGGTATTTATTCAAGAGAAATCATAACTGGTATTCACACAAAAACCTGTATGTGAATATGTACAGTGACTTTATTCATATTGGCCACAGACTGGAAATAAGTAGATGTCCTCCAGCTGGTAAATGGATGAGCAAACTGGTATGTTCACACGGGGGGATATTGCTCCCCAATAAAGTGGAACAAACCTCTGATACACAACATGAACGAATTTCAAATGCATCTCACTAAGTGAAAGAAAGCAAACTCAAAAGGTAATACACTGAATGGCTCTATTAGTATAATGTTCTGCAAAAGGCAAACCAATAGGGACTGAGAACAAATCAGTGGTTGCCAGGCGCTGGGGTCGGGGGAGGGATTAACTACAAAGAGGCAGCCCGAGGGAGTCACTTTGGGGGTGATGGAACTCTTCTGTATCTTGATTGAGGTGAAGGTTACATGACTGTATGTGTTTGTCAAAACTCATAGTACATATCAAAAGGGTGTGTTTTACTATATGTAATTATAACTCAATACAACCCCGCCCTCCCAATTCATTATTACAGAAAAAAAGCTCTTAAGTGATTTAAATTCACAAGGTTGAGAGATATTGTTGGTCAATTCAACAGATTTGAATCTAGGCTCTGTCATTTAAACTTCGTTTTCCACATATGTAATATCAGAGACAATAAGATCTACCTTAAAGAGATATTATGAGTTTTAAATGTTATACTATCTGACAAGCACCTAATAAAGGAGTTGGCACAAAATAATATTCATAATAACTACTTATTTAGTGCTATGTGCTAGGCAATGTATTAATAGCGAGTACATTTACAAGCAACTCTATGAAATAGATATTATTTTCAAATTAGAGAAACTGAGGCTCAGTGAAGTTATGGAACTTGCTCAAGGTCAGTGGCTGAACCAGGTTTAAGTCTAAACTGAACATTACTAATTACTATATCACTCCTTCAGTCTATATTTCAAACATACCCCTCTTCAACTGTCACTTCCTAGTCTCCATCTCACTTTCTCGGTATTTTCATCCCAATGATTTCCTGACTTCATTGAGATCTCCAATTTCCACAGATCCTCCCACTTTTCATGAATCATCATCACCCTCATGTTTTCACTTCCCTTTTTATTCAGCCTAGATTATGCGGTTCAGCAAGGTTTACTCTTCTTTTGCAAATACCCTTAACCCCATTGCTTTCTTCTCCTTCTGCTTGGAAAAAACTAAATCTAGTAAATCCTAATTTTCTCTTTATTCCGTTCTTGCAACCAAGCAGCAGCAATTATTGCTGGAGATAAATGCAGGACTGTGGAAACTGGGCTCACCCTCAGGCAAGCCAGGTTTTAATTAAGGAGAAAAGGTCCATGTATTAGAAAAGGAGAAGATACAGGGGAGCTTAATTACTGTGCTATGGAGAAGCAGTGGGAAGTTTGGCAAGGGAGGGGCAATACTGGGATGATGGTGTGGGCGTGGAAAGAAGAGGGCTGAGGGGCTTCTTTAAGACCAAGGGGGTCTTTAATGACCAAGGACTATGAGAGTGAGAGGCCTGGCTGGAGAAACCTGGTCTACATATGCTAACATTGGCACAAGTTATTTTGGTCCTGGCCCTGGCTGGGGCCCATAGGAGGATTCTGGCTGGCTTCAGTGGGTAGATGAGTCAGTCACAAAGCGTAGAGAAATGTTCTGGATGGGGCCGTATGTGGATTAGGGTAGAGGCAGCATTTTTTTCTTCTGATGCGTGATGAGGCAGTAAAGTCACGAGTTACTGGGCAGTACCAGGGTCTTTGGTGGGGGTGGGTCAATGAGGTGCTGGTAAACGTTTAACAACCGACTCTCCGAACAATGACAGCAACCACAACAACAAATACATAGTCTCGACATAGCTGATTTCAACTTAACAACACGACATCGCTGATTGTAAAGTTGGAAAGAGGCATGCACGATCAGGGCTCTTGGCAGCTGCTGCCAGCTGGCTCCAGCACGACACTGGCTGGGCCAATCTTGGGCCCTCCATCTGAGCAGTGGAAAAGTCTAGACTATACAGTGCCTGTGAGCATTGGGTGGGGGGTCCCCAGAATGCAACTGGACCTTGTTCTGGTTTCTAGTTGTAATATATTCTGTGAAGGAAATGACAGAGGTGATTCATCCACAGGAATCATCGTGGTCTGGGGGCTGGGTCAAAATAGGATGGGATCCACAGAAAATTGTGTAGTCTTCATTAACTGGGCAGGACCCTCACGCATCTGCCCTATGCCCTCTGTGGGACCCCCTGGTTATACGTCTACCTTTTTTCCTACCATTGCTATTCTATTCTATAGGATAACACGTTTAGATCTATAAACTCATGGTAAATAAATTTCTTTGTCAAAAAAAATTGGGAATAATTGCAATCATGTTAGTAGAATTTCAAGTATCTATAAAATTCATTTATGTGAATAATTAATTTTCATCTATAAAGGAGAAAAGTCCTCTATTCTGTAGAAACCTCAATTATTAGGATATTAATACATATAAGAATGTGACTTCAGGAAGAGGGGACAGTGGTAAAACCAGCAGGGAGGATAAGTCATCACAGGAGAATAATAAACTCAACCTGGAAATATTTCCCTATCAAAGTAAAAAGATGTCAACTGTAAACCAGCATGCTTTCTGGTTGCATGTCTGCAGTCTGTCTTCGCATCTGGATGTATGATATTAATGTAGTGCTTTTCTTATGGTAGTATGCACTAGTACATAGAACTCGCAACATAAGCTAGAATTTCTATTTCTCCTGAAACAATTGAAGAGATTGAGACATTCACTGCCAGTACCTGGGTTGACCCACATGATCTGCCACCCAAAACCCCAGCAAAGCCTCATGCTTTTGCAATACAGTCATCAAAACGCAGGAAGATTTTGTGTTTTTCAAGTTGTCCATTGACCTACCCCAGCCATTCTGGAAAGATACTCTGGATGCCAACTCAAGAGAAGGGAGGGAAGAGGAAAAGGCCATAGGAGGCCTTTTTACAAATTACCAACATGGGAGTCCTGGCACCTTATTTTTTAAAAATGAGTTTTATGACTTTCTCAAGGGGAGAGAAGGAGCTATCGACCTATCTCTGCAGAATATCATTCTGTTAAGGTGCCTATGGCACCACAGATGGTGCTGTGTGACTCTCTTGATGGTCTCAAATCTCCTAGCTTGTCTTCCTTCTCCTTGGGAGCTCCAATGCCAGCTCCAGGCTTATGAAATCCTGATCATACCAGATTTATTGACTTGTCATTTTGCTACTCTGTGTGTCCCTTATTATTTATATCCTAGGGTATCCTTTGGCCTACCCCAAAGGGGTTGACTTATCTTCCAGTGAAAAGGAGGGTTAGAATAAAAATAGAACCATTAGAACATGACAGGGAATGAGAAGTTGGGAGATATCTGGGCACCAGAATAGTTGTATTGAAAAACCAAAAAAAAAAGAAAAGAAAAAAAAGAAAGGAAAGCTACTGTAATTGAGTTAAAACCTAGCCCTAATTTCCCTGGCAGTCATGGCAAAAAGAGAACATAATGAACGCCTCTCTGCCGATTTATAGAGCTCACCACTAAATACTCTAGAAAAGCGGGATGCGCAGCAAGCAGTCCAGGAAGCGTGCTTTCCAAGGACGTCCTGCACTGAGACGCTTACCTGATAATATGGATGCGACGGCTGCAATGATGAAAGATACAATGACACCAGGTCCCGCCATTTCCTTGGCCACCAGGCCAGATACCACGTACATGCCAGTGCCCACGCAGCTGCCAACGCCGAGAGAGATGAGGTCCACAGTGGTGAGTACCTGGGCTAGCTTGGTGCCGTGTGCTGTGGTGGCCCCAGTTCCCTCCAGCATGGACTCCACCGGTTTGGTGCGCAGGATCCTGGAGTGCATGGCATACCAGGCAGCTCCCCACTGCACCCGCCGGGGATCCAGTGAGGCCAGGAAGCCACTCATCTTGAGAGATAGGGGTTGCAGTAGAGGTCAGCTGATGGAAGAGGGCTACAAAAGCCTTAATGGATGGTTCTGGAACTCATCTAGTGAACAGGGATCTCCCTTTTAGGAAAGGTCCAGAGGGACCTGAAGCTGTCTTCTTCTGGGCATGGATGTCTGCGGGAAAAACACAAGAAAGGAGAAGATGAGACCAAGTGGGAAACAAACTATGACTTGGAGGCATAGTTAATGTCTTGATCTGGTGAAACTGGTCTATCCTGTGTGTTCATAACATGGGCGGGTTCCATGGGTTCCATTACCCCTTGGTGTTTCCCCTCCAGTCTTAAATGACAGCCTGCAGCTTGCACTATGTTGCATAGTTGTTTTAAAGAGGATGATCTGAGTCAGGGCTCTGCCACTTACTGCTCTGGGACCTCAGGTAAGCTACTTCCCTTCTCTTGCTTCAATCTCAACTGCCCAAATGGGATAATGGAGCCTCCCTCTGAGTGTTGATGTGAAGATTAAATGAGCATATGTCTATAAGGAGCTTAAGACATGCCTGGCACATAGAAAATTCTCCTCTGTCTCAACTCTAAGTACTTCTTGCTTGGCCCTCTCAGCACTGGGTATGTGATTCTTGGGTATAGTTTTAGGGGACACAATATCCTCATTTTTTACATAAGGATGTAAAATTAGGTCCAGAAGTCTCAGGAGGCTATGCCACCCCATGGGGTTGTTTTGGAACTTGGCTTTCAAATAAAATGAAAAAGATTTGGTCATTCTTTTGCTCTCAGTGATTGAGGTGGCAAGGAGTGCTCCTGGCATTTGGGGGAGAGGGGTCTCTGAGATGCTAAATGTGTAGGACAGTGTCACGTAATTTCTAGTTATCTTACTCAACATTCCTGTAGATGAAAATCCTGGTTATGATGATCTGAGCCTAGAAACTCTTTTACATATAAACATGTGGGATATTTTGGATAGTCTCTTTTCTTTAAGTTTTAAAATTTCAGCATATTATGGGGGTACAAATGTTTGGGTTACGTGTATTGTCCTTCCTCACCTGAGTCAGAGCTTCAACCATGTCCATCCCCGAGACGGTGCACACCGCACCCATTAGGTGTGTATATACCCATCCCCTCCTCCCCCTCCCACCTTCCTAACACCTGATGAATGTTACCACTATATGTGCATTTAAGTGTTGATCAGTTAATACCAATTTAATGGTGAGTACATGTACTGTGTGTTTTTCCATTCTTTTGATACTTCACTTAGTAGAATGGGCTCCAGTTCTATCCAGGATAACACCAGAGGTGCTAGATCCCCATTGTTCTTTGTGGCTGAGTAGAACTCCATGGTATACATATACCACATTTTATTAATCCACTCATGTATTCATGGGCACTTGGGTTGTTTCCACATCTTTGCAATTGTGAATTGTGATTACATTCTAGTGCAGATGTATTTTTTATAGAAAGTCTTTTGCTCTTTGGGGTAGATGCCCAGTAATAGAATTGCTGGATCAAATGGTAGTTCTGCTTGTAGCTCTTTGAAGTATCTCCATATTGCTTTCCACAGAGGTTGTACTAGTTTGCAGTCCCACCAGCAATGTATGAGTGTTGGTAACTCTGTGAATCCATGTCAACATTTATTGTTTTGGGACTTTTTGATAGAGGCCATTCTCACTATAGATAAGTAACATCTCATTGTGGCTTTGATTTGCATTTCCCTGATGATTGGAGATGTTGAACATTTTTTCATATTTGTTAGCCATTAGTCTATCTTCCTTTGGAAAGTTTCTGTTCATGTCCTTTGCTAACTTTTTGATAGGGTTGTTCGGAGATCTCTCCTGACAATGAAGAATCAATTCAGGGAACTACAAAATACACAGTGCGAAAGCTCAGAACAGGTAGATCAAACAGAAGAAAGAATCTCAGAGATTGAAGATAACACCCTCCAACTAAATAAAACCAATCACACGAGATAGAGCAGAGAAACAAGAGAAAAGAGCAAAGCCTACAAGAGATGTGGGATTATGTGAAGAAACTTAATGTGAGGGTCATAGAATTACCAGAAAGGGAAGAGGACAACACCCAAGGGTTGGACAAGCTATTTGAAGATATAATAGAGGAAAATTTCCAGGCCTTGCTCAAAATATCGATATTACAAGTTCAAGACCATCAGCCCAGGCACGACCGACCCCTGGAAGATTCAATGCAAACAGGAAGACGTCACGACAGTGCAGTCATCAGACTGACAACCAAATATCAACTAAGAGGCCCTTCTAAGGAGCTGTAAGACAAAAGAAGCAAGTGACTACAAGGGAAAGCCAATTCGAATAACACCAGACTTCTCTAATGAGACTTTACAAGCAAGGAGAGACTGGGGCCCCATTCTCACTCTTCTGAACAGAAACAATGCCAGCCTAGAATCCCTATTCCTGCAAAACTAAGCTTTGTTATATGAAGGAGAAATAAAGACATTCTCCAGACAAAGCAAAGTCTCAGAGAATTCCAAGACAAGACCAGCCCTACAAGAAGCACTCAAAACATTGTTACCGCACAGAACACCATAATAAAAACTCATGAATATAAAAACAACCAAAACCCAAAGATTAAAGGCAGATAATACAATGGCTTAAGAGAGAATCAAAGCAACAACATCCAACCCAACAGAATGGAACAGTAATCTACCTTACCATATCAGTTCTCTCAATAAATGTGAATGGCTTAAATCTCTCCACTCAAGAGACATAGGCTGGCTGAATGGATAAGAAAATACCAGGCCAAGTATATCGCTGTCTTCAGGAAACACATCTAACCTGCAAGGATGCATATAGACCTAAAAGTAAAAGGGTGGAGATCAGTATTCCAGGCAAGTGGAAGCCAAAAGAAGGCTGGCGTGGCAATTCTAGTTTCAGACGATTTAGTTTTTAAAGCAACAAAAGTAGTTGAAAGACAAAGAGGGTTTATTCTATAATGGTGAAGGGCACAGTTCAACAAAGAAGAGATAACAATTTTAAATATATATGCACCCAACTTAGGTGCTCCCAGTTTCATAAAGCAAACCTTACTGAGCCTAAGCAAATGGATTAATAGCAACTCCATAACTCACCAGAGATTTCAACACCCCACTGACGGCACACAGACAGATCCTCCAAACAGAAAATTCATAAAGAATAATGGACTTAAACAAAACCTGGAACAACTGGGTCTGACTGATATCTACAGGCACTCTACCCACAATCCACTGAATACTACGTTCTTCTCATCAGCTCACGGGACATTCTCTAAGATTGACCATATCCTAGGACACAAAGTAAATCTCAAGAAATTAAAAAAATAGAAATCATACATCGGTACCCTTCTCAGATCACAAGTGGAATAAAAGTAGAAATCAACCCTAACAGAAACACACATTTCTACACAAAAACGTGGAAATTAAACACACCTCCTACTAAATGATTACTTCATAAATGAAGAAATCAAGATGGAAATAAAAAAATTCTATACACTCCCTACACTGCTTGTGGGACTGCAAATTAGTTCAACCTCTGTGGAAAGCAATATGGAGATACCTTAAAGGAATACAAGTGAATCTACATCTTGATCCAGCAATGCCCATTGCTGAGCATCTACCAAAGCCGAAATGACACTCTACAAAAAAACTCCTGCACTCGAATGTTTATAGCACACAATTCAATAATTGCAAGGCTGTGGAAACAGCCCAAGTGCCCAACAATCCAAGAATGGATTAATAAAATGTGGTATATGTAACCATGGCAGTACTATTCAGCTCTAAGAAACCATGGTGATGATAGCACATCTTATATTTTCCTGGTTAGAGCTGGAACCCGTACTATTAAATGAAGTTCTCCCAAGAATGGAAAACAAGCACTCACATATCCTCACAGCAAATTGGTATTAACTGAACAGCACCCTAAGTGGTCACATAGGTACTACAGTAATAGGTATTGGGCAGGGGGGAGGGGCGGGTATATACATATATAAAGTGAGATGTGCCACCATCTGGGGGATGTCATGCTGGAGACTCAGACTTGAGGGGAGGGGGAGAAATGGCCAATTTATTGAAACCTTAAAATCTGTACCCCATAATCCATCGGCGAAATACAAA